TCCTGCTGTTCATTTCTTAAGAAATATTCACAAGCTGGTTGCTCTGTACAAGGACTTGGTTGTATGTCTAATTACCTATGGAATCAGCTAATGGAAAAAACTGCATCTTACATACACAGAATGTGCTTCTGAGAGTGTAATTTGTCCTAACAATGTATTATTAAATGTTTTCTATTAAAAAAAAATCTGTTTTTTATCTGTTTATTATTTTACATTTTCGTTTGCCTTATTTGGAAACAGTCTGCTTCATTTTGGCCACCTCAGCCTGGTTTCTGGAACTGAGCTGAAAATTTTTCGTACATGGTACCGTAAGTCGCCCTGTTGGGTAGCCTGACACTACTGAATGCAGTAACAAACTCTTCGGGTAGGGTAAAAGGCTCCCTCTGCTCTCTTCAGGCTGTCCCCATGCCTTGGGGCCTGGCTGGCTGTAGTGCAAGGCTCCTTATTTACGTATCTTGCACACAAAAGAATTTTATCCTCCGATGCCTAAACACTGCCAGCGTCCAGATCAGCCCCAGAGCTGCAAATCTTTGCTACACCAAAAGGCCACTATTTGCCTGTCAAAATGGGAATTTGCGACCTTTGCTTTGGGTATCCAAATATCAGGCATTTCCCTTGTCCAACAACTGCCTCCCGTTCTGACCCCTGACATGGAGAGCGCTGAGTACACGCTGCCTGCCTCTTCTGCAAGGCCCGGCTGCTCCTCCCCATCATGCTCAGCCGCTTTGGGAGAAGCACCCGTACCGCCTATGAGCACCGAGGAAGGATTCTGGCAGATAAACCGGGATGCTGCACCTTGTTACCACCCCATCTCCCGTCCCAGGGGGGCTGCTGGGGAGCACAGGGTGGTGTAACGTGGGTGCAACGTGTCTTCCCACAGCAGCCCCAGGGCAGCTCATAAGACAGTAGTATAAAACATTGATGCATAATAATTCTCTGAAATCATCACCTCAAAGTGCAACGGCCGCCAAATGAAAGCTAGCAACATGTTGGGCATCTTCAGGAGGGGAACTGAGAGCAACAGAGATTGCATAGGTTTAAAGCCTCTTGCTTTAGTGTGTACCTGTTTATTTGAGGCACGCACACTTTTATTTCACTTCTTCCTATGATCTAGATAGTCTTCAAACAGCAGAAGGATTTTTGCCAGGCAACTCTGTGATCATAAAATATGTGAGCTGTCTTTGGCTTGCTTCTTCTCGAGGACCCTTCGCAGTAGGACCGATGTCAGTCCTCTCCTCAACCCATATTATTTTGGCACCAGTTTGAGGCGTTTGGCCACTTGAACTCTGAACAATACACCCTGTGGCCCTCCAGTTATCAGGCCACGCAGAAGCCAGAGGAGAAAGCTGCACCCTTTGGTGCAGACTCTTTAGCAAGCATCTCTGTGTGTGCACGCGTGCATGTCTGTGTAACACACCAGAAAGCTGACCAGGTGGTGAGTAAGAGTCGGGACGTTTGCCCCACAATGAATGGAAGGACCCTTAGATTCCACTGCAGCAAACTACAGGTTCTTGTCCGCCTTCTCCTTTTCCCAACCTCATGTAAACTTCTGCTCCCACCACCACCCAGCCGCCATGTGCATTCATCACCCTCCATCCACATCTCTACTCCCCTCCACACAATTACACGTAGCAGAGGTGTTTACATGTCCTTTCTGTCCTCAGCTCTTTTCTTGGTCTCTTACACCACCTTCCTTCCAAACCACTTTCACTTCCTTCTTCCATCACCACTTGCAGTCTGGGGGCAAAAGGACAGCAGCACCAACCAACCAACCATGCAACCACCTCACACCATTTCCCCATCCTCAAAGTCGCCCTCCCATGCCTGGTGGCTGTAGTTCTGCTCTTCTATCAAGAGCCTTCTCAATCACAAACCTTAATTTGTTCCCTCGAGTTTCAGTGTTACTGTTCTTACAATGCCAGCAGTATATTCTCTCTAATGTACACGTGCTGCAAACCATAGAGGAAGTCATTGGAAGAAATACTGGAAAGTCCCTGAAAATGACTTCTAACTCTTCCTCAGAAGAATAAAGAATAAACACTGGTTTGCTGGCCTCCACTTCACTATCCCTGGTGAACGTTGACTAATACAAACATCCTGGCGGGGTATCAGGTGACAGACACATTATCCATGCTTTACTTGCTTTTGTTTACGGATTGCTTCCCATTCTGAAAATGATTGCATTTCTTATGTTGTTATCACACAACATGGGAAAATCCCAGGAAAGTTACACACAGCACTGCCTTGATATTGTAGACTTGTTCTGAGCATTGCATTTATTCTTGTTTACAACAGGATAATATGAGCGACTCCATAGGAAATGGATCCTCCGGAAATTATACAGACTGCCATGGAATATTCTGGGTCAGCAAATAGGCAGTTTGCTTCTGTGTGCAAAAAGGAAACAAGAATTTTGCCACCTATAAAAATGAGCCTGTGCTGTCTATTGTTGAAAGCTATCATGAAAATTTATTTTTACTATTACCTGCAGTTGATTATTTTTAATAATAACTGTCAGTGCCAGTCAGCGTGCAGATGACTTCATAATTTCTGTGGATTTCTAGAGAGGAAGATACTATGTGTGGAAGAATCTAGAAGGTAGGCTGAGAATCTAAGCGCAATTCAGAAATTACAGACGGAATAAACTCGAATGCTTGGCAAGAGTTCACGTGCAAACTCTGCAGTACCACAGCTCCATAGCGATGGTGCTTACAGTGCATGTTCTTCAAGCTCTCTGTACTTCTGGCCTGCTCAGCCACTTGTGACAATGACTTCTGCCGTTCAGCCACACGCTGTAGAGGTACACGCATCTGGCTGCTTTCAACATGACCTGTTGAAAGTAATTCGATTTTCTCATATTTTCTTTTTTTCCCTGTAATTCCTTTCTAAATGCTTCCTGAAACTCTAACCTTTTTGACTGCCATAAGACGCTGTACACAGTTCTCTAAAATAATCAAGCCTGTGACACCCAGATCTCTCTCCTCAGTGACAACAGCTCACTTGCAATTCCTCCTGTGCAGGTACAGCTGGGTTACAGGCGTAACTGGGCTCACTGATACTGGGCTTCTCCTGCCCTGCCATGAAACAGGCAGCATCGTGACATCTTTCTACAACCCTGTGCAGGCAGATTTCAATATAGCTATGCTCAAGAATTTTGCATCATTAACAAATACAATTTATTTTAAACAACTGTCAACCTCTGACAAGTCCAATTGTCTTATTCCATGAAAATTAAAATTCGCAAGGAATATGATCAAAATTTTTGGAAAAAAAAGTTGTACTAGGTTGACCAGATCCCACCTGCCTGTATCTCCACGGACTCAGCCAATGACTCTAGTGGATATGTGAAGTAAGATTTTTTTCCCTCCAAAGGGCGCATTGGCAACTCCATTATCAGTCTATCAGTTCCTCCTATTCCTTACTGGAAGACAGGAAAACTGGGCAAAACCTAATATTTTTTTCTTTTGCAGATAACTGTTTTTCATATATACACACCTTATGAAAATCTGCAGAAAGAAGAAGTCATTAGACAAGATGCTTGTCTTGAGAGCGCACCTGGACCTAGTTAATGACCTTCCCTCCAAACGAGCCCTCCGTGCTTGAGGAGGCAGCAGCAAGAGCAGAGTTAAGCAGCTTTTCTGACTCAGTTACTACAAAATGCCAGAAGGCCAAAACCAACTTTCAGGCACTGAAGCAACACTGACCCTGAGCTCCTGA